TATGGTTTTATCAACTCATCGTATCAAGATAAATATGTATAGTTACGTTTGATATATGTATAAGTAATTCCTGTGAAGATGTGGTAGCTGAGTGGCCACACGAATAGCGATCAATATTGGATCATTGATAAATGTAAAACGTAAAACATTGAATGGAGCTGAAGTTGAGTGGAGTGCGTATAAACAAGTACCTATGTATCGGAAGGCGTAACATTGGCATTGACAGTTTTTATGTGCTGATGTAATGTCCAATCCGCGGATTACTATTTTGTGTTGCGTATTGTATTCTGATTTTATTTATGTCAGGTCTCGCTACACTGACTCTGAATAAAAAATGGCAACTAGTTACGCCGTAAAAGCACGTAAAGGTCACCAATTTGTTAACGCTCGTGTACATTTGAATATGGTCCATAAATTAGATATTAGCGTATAACAAGCAAAGTCCTATATTGTAATTTATTGTAAGCTGGAAGCGTGTGATATTAGGTCGGGGTGCAACGCGATGTAATACACTGATACGATTATATTATCAGGAGGCTATCTGGCGGGCAGCCGTCGACGGCGCCACACTCATTATCAGCTTGAAATCGAGCCGACAGTCAATTAATGCAACATGTCCCGAGCCTGACCATTTATAATTCAATACTCTGGCAAACAAACCTACCTACCTTCATTAATGAACAGGAAATTAAGCCATTGCGGTTAGTGAACTAGATATAGCTACTAGCTACATTACCTACACATCCAGTAAACGCTAATGTTTATTATTAATTGTGGTTCCATCGTCTATTTAAAATGATGAGTAAATAGTTCCAACACTTATTCATTATAAATATAATGTTGACCTTTGATAGGCCCAAGTTTCCCATGACGTAAATGGACTTCATCCCTTCATCATCACTTATTCTGCTTAAAACACTCACTAGGTACAATTTGGTGACTTATTCCAGTGGTCAGGGTGACGTCGTTACACAATAGCAGCCACAAGGTTCATTCCTTTAATATTACAAACAAGTAACTTTTTATATTTATTTTGAAATCTTAACATAGCCATCTCCTCACAACTGCGTGGGCGATTTCGTTAACTTTTGTATAGATACATTTTTGTAAGTACAACCAGAATATCTATTTTCGTGATATCGCCTTGAAATCCAAAACTCCCATCCCGTCGATTCTAAGAACCTGAATCAAATAGTTAGGAGTGACGTCAATCTGCTACATTCCCAGAATTTGCCGAACGTTATTTATTTATTACAACGTTATTTCTCTATTGTTTTCGTAAGACATCATTTTAAAGAATTATTATTTTTGTAGGAATAGGAGATGGTATCCCAAATTGTAGTACAAGGAAGCTATCTAGTATTGGTTGATGCATTGATGATAAAAGGTTAAAATGTTTATGTCATTCATTTAACAAGACTTGTTGGTCACGATCATTATGAATGGATTTAATTGACCCAACTCGAAGAACATTCAATAGAGGCCGATGTGCAATCATATTTATAAGTCGCCCACCAACCTTAGTAAATTGGCTTAAATTGTTCCAACAGGCTTGATTAAAGTCTATTTAAAGATGCCACATAATATTATCAATGACAAATGCTTTCGCTTCAACCCATCTAATAACTGCATTTTGGCTCAATGTATGTATACAGGTTTTACCTTAAAACTATCTGATAATAACTACTAACTCGTTTAACTACTTAAACGTATGAAATCAGAAACTCACAGGGATGTCTTACCTTGTGCAAACGATAAAGAAATAGTATTTAGAGAATAATTATTGTGCCTTTTAAATCGCACCAAAAATAACAATAAAAACTCCAATTCTGTGTTAAATAAATAGTTCACAAGTCTACGTAATTATGTATTGGGTAGTTAAAATCGCACAAGGTTGTTGATAAACGTGGCTGGAAGGACGCGGGCCGCGCGCCGGGCCAAGGCCTCCCCGCAGTCCGCACCTGCCACCCACGCCACGCCAGCGCCTCCCCGCGTGCCGACTGCCCCGCCGTCGACACCATGCATGCTCTGCTGTGCCATGCGTATTTCTACATCTTATTAACATTCGCATGATACCAAGCCATAATATCCACGGCCCTCTTGAAGGATTGAGGCTACACTGTCCAAATCTGAATTAAAATAATCAGAATACCTAAAAGTTACAGTTAAAGTAGATTTTGTTTGTTGCATGAATGTTTGTAGGCGGTCAAGAGTGGGTGCTAAATGTGTGCGAAACAATCACGTTTATATTGTGTGGGTGTAGCGGGCTGAAGGATTGGGTTTGCTCGGCGAGGGGTGAATTTTATGGAGTCCTTGCTACCGAGGACGAGCGTGGAAAGCGGGGGGGGGGGGGGGTGTCAGAGACGTGGGGGAGGGTACGACGGGTTCATTGAGTGCGGCGGATGAATGGGCCGCGATGAGTCATCGGATCGATGCTGAGCCGCCACCTGCCTCTCCCCCGCACCGTCGCGCGGCTGCGTGATGCCAGCCTGCTTGCTAGGCCTGCAGCTCACCTAATGGCCCATATTTAATGTGGGAGTAACAAATGGGCACCCCTATGCCTCTTACTGATAAGTGATATCAAATTCTTATTTATTATAATAGCGACACAATCAACTTTAGATGAGGTTTCATGGGATTAAAAAGTTCGATACATACATCAATCAATGACGTCTTAACTACACACTACGTTAATTAACTAACAACCTTTGATTGGCTTGTGTTTTATTTGAATAGTTAAGGAGCTTAATCATGAACTGTATCATAACAGAAGCTTGTATTTTCACAACTTCCATTTTAGCGATAAACGTCGATTAACTGTTCAATCACAAATGATATCGTATGCGAAGGATATTGAATGGGCGTCAATAATAGGCTGTCGATGTCGTGACTATTAGATATACCTCATATAGGAATGTGATGGACATAATGGGAGCGTTATTAGCATCACAATCGTTGGCTGAACAGCGGACGACAGGAAGCGGCCGAACGCGACGGAAACGCTGCGTTGTCCGCTTTGCCGTGCACACCAGCATTTCATACGATTCTGAGGAACAATGTTCGAGTCTAAATACTTATCGAATGATGAAATTATTTTAGGAAATAGGTATAATCAAATAACAAGTGCTCGATGAGATCCTCCCAGTTGTCTCCACTTTGTAAAAGTTATTAAGGCTGTGGGAATAAAATGTGTAGGTTGGGTAACATTTCAACTCAAACAAATAAAAGCATGACCTTTACCATAAAATATTCTGAAGATTTTCCAAAAGTCAAGAGGTCTACGTTGTTTAGAAAATACGTTATAGTGAAATATTCAACAACCGAGGTTTCCTCATTAAAATTATGATCCCCGTAACTCTCACCAAGGAAATATATTTTCTGGCTCTAAGTATTGTAAATGTCAGACGCGTATCTTTATGAACGAGGCTGTAATTCATAAGTAATGCACGAAATGAACTATAAGTTTCATAAAAACACTATTCGTACAGATTTGCTTTAATATGTTATCAAAGTTTCTCTACAAAAATAAAAAATAACACCAAGAAAAACTTATCTGAAAATATCATAATTCTAGCTATCACTGGACCGTATATCTAGCTGGAGTTAGACCTAATTGGTTATGTTTTATTCTTTACAAAAATAGTTGTGCTAGATAAAGATCATTTTATTTGCCAAAACATGTATAGGTTAAAACCACAGAACATTATAAAGTGGTTAAAACAATACATGCAAAAATTGATGTTTACTATAAATGGTACAGTATTTATTGGTTGTATCAACATGTTTAACCATGACTGGTGTACAAATATTAATTATGCAATTAATCTGGATAATAAATGTCAAGTTATAATAAAGACAATAAAAATTTACAAATAAAGTCGGTTAATAAGTAATCAAAAGAAACAAAACATAGTTAATATGTTCTGTGGTTACTATGATGATATTATACGTTACAATTTAAATATCATCTTTCACCCATCACCTTCGGTCCGGGATTAGCATTTCAAACATTTCGAAGAGCTGATTTGAAACCTCCCACGTTTTGCCTACACATAACATAACCTTATCACACCGTGTTGTGACGAGAGATTGGAAATACCAGTCCGGTCCCCACATTTTCTCCTCCCACGAGTGGTCGTATGACCGGACCCGGCTGAAGGTAATGCGCAAAAAAGTGGTTTGACAGAAGCGGAGCAGCATAGGTATCTGGTAATCCAAAACCTTTTAAAATTGGGATCTCCAACCCCGATAGATATTCAAAAGTGGACTGTCATGGGATGTTGATGATATTTTTATTACATTTTTATAAGTAATAATATGTTGGAATTGGTGGAAATCCGTTGGCAAGGCCAGGTATAATATATTTTAACGAGATGATCCGCATTCAATCGTATGAAAGAAAGTCTTAACAGAATCATTCGAACAGCTCACGCGCTCTCAAAAGGAGTTATTATGTATGAGAGAATACCATGAACTCCGTGTGCATCGGACTCAAAGCATGCATAGTTTCGGCTTGAGTCATACTCGGAAATTATGAAATGACTACTCAGATGAGGATAAATAGCGTATTGGATTAAGTGGAACAGAATGTTCGTAAAAATATCTATGATGTTACAGTCAAATAAAAGTAAAACATCTTCAAATCTAGGCTTCTCTTTCATCCTACTTCTACCAGCCTATTCATATTCCATGCGATTTGGCTAAAGTGGCGTCTAAGCAATAGACGAAATCTATGGTTTTCTAATTTTAAGTGATCATTAAGTAACTGTTGTTTATTGTTACTAGTTATAGGCGTAAAAATATGAGATGGTTGAGAACAATAATAACAAACACAAAGTCACCTATCATGCTTATAGTAATTATTGATTAAATAGTAGTGATTTGAAACGTTTGAAACGCAACTGAATGCGAAGGCGTCCATTCATTCATGAGTATCAATTATTTTTAGATATTAATAAGCCTGAGATTTATTCATTTTGTTATTTTTCTTTGTCCCAAAGGAGATTTTGAAGAGTTCCGACGCGCATACCCCGAATGGTGCAGCGAGGCTGGGGCTCAGCATGTACCGCATCTTCCACTCATGGGTCTACGGTCAGTATCAACCGGTTAATATTTATATGCATACTAATTGACACTTTTGGTGTGTATAATTTTTTTGAGCGTTAATAGCCGTTCTTGGTATATTGTGTCCACTAAAAATCTGCACATTTGACTACTTGCTTCCGTGTAAGTAATTCCAATCATTCAGCTTTCATTTCATTTATGTCATTAACTCGTCGAGTACCGGTTTTATAGACACAATTAAAGAACAATAGGTCGCGGTCACCGGTGACCGCTTGGTGTTTGACAGTTTAATATCAATTTAATGACAAGTAATACAAAAATATAAAATTGTTGAAGAAAACAGGCACATCCGTCGAGCCCCATGAGTATACACGGTCAGGTAATGGAGTTTACGTGTTATGCTTAGGTACAGAGGAAAGTCAAGATAGCTTATTCTCAGAGGTATAGTCTGGAAGCAGAGGTATATGTAAAACTTACTTCATCTCCATCGGGAGTGATCCATGAAAATTTAAACAACTCTACACATTACGTTTTTCAAGTTAAAATCGAGGTTAAATGGTTTCCTTACTGCTTATATTGAGGTTCCATTCATTCTCATCTGAAACCTTCGTCGCACAACAGTATCATTGTTGATGGCCATCCTCACGTCGAACACAAAGTCTTCAGGTAGGTACAAAGTTAATAGCGCAATGTAATGTAAAGTTATGGATGATAAAATCACAGTCATGATTAAATCGAGCGTGCTGCTAGTACTTACAAGTACATATTATATCAAGGAAATCATTAGAATTGAAATTCTGAGCAGGCCGCCTCGCTCAATTGAGAGAACGAGGAAACTTACGCGTGGGAACCAGATTTGCGCGTGAGAAGGTTTTTCACTTCGATGGAAAAAGTGTCCGAACCGATTCCGGCGAGACTGGATACGACACGATGCGGCGGACTTTCTCAATGTTATGTTGTTGATGAGTTGATCTCGTGAGAAGCAATTGTATGTTGAAAGTCAGCTTCATAACTATTCCAACAAGTGCGTTATAATCGTTAACAAACTGTATTAATTAATGATTACTAATATAATGTTTCTTATTTATTACGTTTTGTATTTACCTGAATTTAGTTTTTACTCCCTGGGTTGCATATACAAAGACATCGAATCATAAAACAAGATTTCTCAGTATCGGTGGACGGTGACGATGACAGAGGATGTTACTCATAAAGTGCAAACACCGGTTCTTTCCTACCGCTCTTTGTTACTCAGCCACTAAGTGATAATGGATGATGTATAGAAATATAATGTTAATAAATAGTAGATACCTAAGTACTTATTTATATCCAGTTGGTGCCTACCTATCACACATAGCCGTGACTGACTTAGCAGTGCACACGTGCGAATATCTTGTCAATGTCAAATATTCCATTCATGAAGCTGTGTAATTTGTTCATCTGGAGTTGTACATTTTATTACGACACTGCTAATTAAACAGCTAATAGAAAATTAACAGTATTATCATAAACGACCTGAAACCTAATGGACTTTAGTTTGATACTCTGTACAATACGCTTTTAAAATGTCCGTCTTTAATTTGAAATAAATATGTAGCTGTATTAAAGTAATTTTATATTTTGCATAACCAATTCAAAGTTCGGTTGACCAATTGATTGTACAAAGGTAAAAAAGCTTGCTGTCACTGCCGCCGCATTGCAGTCGACCGAATAAAAAATGTTGGTTAATAAACTCATTCATCATTTAGAACGGCGACGAGCACCGTCTACGCCACGACCGCGCTGTAAGTGTGCAGTTACCTAAACACGTAATTGGCGTATTGCATTAGAAGCGGTGAAACGGAGCCTTGCGCTCAATGGAGTGCGTTCCATTCATGCAGGCAGCGCGCATGCGGCGAGCGCACGGCGCACGGGTCTCTGTTTACTGCTTCAGTTTTTCGCTTCGCAAATCATTGTAGGTGTTCGGCACACGATGTTAATGAACGGACTCTGTGAATGGCAACTTGTGACGCGTGACATCACCGCCTAATGTTTCTGTATCGATACTCTTGCCGCTATACAAAACACTATTAGTCATCAGGGTTGCAGTAACTGCTTACAAAATAGCTATAATCTAAATATTATTTTAGTGTTTTGCGTAGGCAAAGTAATCGATGAGTTTTCCGCTGAATCAGAGCATATGCTATGAATATAAAGGATGTAATATATTTAGTATTTCCCGAATGATTTTCTTTCAACTCTGATTTGCAAGCATCCGCTTCTGATTGCGTGGGTTGTTTGACTGCTACCTTTCACGATATAATACTCAACCGAACTATAAATAGCAACATTCAAATTAATGGTGTAAATGTAACGACTCCCACGCTGACGCGGCATCGTGCTACAGGCCCACTCAGGGCCTCCGCGAGCCAGCTCCCGGCCCTGGACGAACTAAACACGCACGAATTAGTTAGGCCTACGGGAAGGCCTTTTTCCGATATACCTGTTCGTACTAAGTTATAACAATGTTCTATTTTCAAACATTTTAAAAACAACGTTTTAACGTTGTACGCTTTGAACAACAGGACGAAATATAATTACGATGCCGCCTACGCACATTATATAAATAGATATTTCGAAACTCCATGGTTCCCTAATTTAATCTTCATACAATGATTTGCTGTGGTTACAAAATAAAAGACGAGGATGACGTGCGTCGCTTTATTATCTTAGAAGGGCTGACGTCAACATCCCTATTTGATAATGTGATATCTAATTTTCATCCATAGATAATCTTTATTTATTTCTGTATCAGGTACCTACTAAGATTATTTGTTTGTGAATGAATAGTACCTATTTGAATAATGGATATTATTCGTTTTATTAGCAATATTATTTGTTTCCAGTCCTTTCACTGAAGAAGTAAAGTGGCTAAACATTGTTCTAAGAAAAGTTAATTAAGTATTTGTTGTGATGTCATCGTGTACGAATGATGACACCCGTAGATCCTGGTCGACGCGACCGCAGTTGGCGGCAGGTTATCGTTGACGTGACGTCATCCTTGTTGACGTCAAGGCAGTCCTCGCTCCGCGTGAGTTCATTCACGAATTAATCCGTACACGATCACGGTCGGTGACGAGCTATATTTTTATATTGCCATTTTTAATCATTCAATGTTATTTAATTAATATTAAACAAAATTATTTCACCCAGTTACAAAATAGGGTTTTGGTTAAAACTTAGGTTTAAACCGCGTTAAGCCGTCGTCTGATTCTCTTATTATAGAACTACTAGCTTCTGCCAGCGGCTTCGCCCGCGTTTCCGTGGGATAAAAAGTAGCCAATGTTAACATATGATGGTCTGGAATAACTTCCAGACCATCATCTACTGTTGTTCTAAATTTCATCGCGATCCCTTCAGCCGTTTTGACGTGAAAGCACAAACACACACATTCATTATCTATTTATATCAGTATGTATGAAAGGACAAAAATGTACTTAAGTTTGTTTGACATAGTAGTATTTAGACACCACTGACAAACGGTGAAGGAAAAACATCGTGAGGAAACCTGGACTTATAATTTCTAATTATAAGTTTGAAATCGCCAACCCGCATTGAGCAAGCGTGGTGATTAATGCTCTAACCTTCTCCGTGTGAGAAGAGGCTTTGCTCAGCAGTGTGCATTTATAGGCTGTTGATGACTCGCACAATTTTATATCTGTAATTCTATATTCATTAAACATTAACTGACTTAAAATAGTTAAAAAGGTCAATATGAAACAAGTATTTATCTATAATTATTTCCTTCCTGACAGTTTATTGAAATATAAAAACGAACAAAGATTAGGTACAGTACGCAGTAATGACACGAAAATGTACAATTCTATCAAATACTGAATAAAGAATGAACGATAAACTGATAATATTGTGATCTTTTGATATACATAATATGATAATACTAGAAGTGTAAATTCTGTACATTGAAATATTAAAAAAAGAAATAGTAGGAGTTTTAAATACTAGACTGAAACCAAAAAAGTGATTTAATTTGTTTTGTCTGTCTGTCTGTATGTTCATGCAACACGCAAAAACTACCAGTTCGATTACGATGAAATTTAGTATGATTATACTTTAAGATCCTGGACATCACACTGGATACTTTTTATCCCGAAAAAGTCTGTACACAAACTTTACTTTGGAGCTCGATCCCTAAGCACAATTACTGTATCAAACGAAAATATAAGTTTGTCGAATGTTAGGTTGCCCGCAGTAGATCTTACGCTATATCTGTAGGGACGACGGTCGAAATTAGCTTGAACCGAGCTGAAAATTGAGTTTGTGTGTATGTTTGTTACTCAGTGACATCAAAACGACTGAAGGGACCGGGATGAAATTGGGAACAAAGGTAGATTATGGTCTGGATAATACATAGGCTACCTTTTACCCCCGGGAATGCGAGTGGAGTCGCTGGCAGAAGCTAGTTTTGTAATAACAACGATACAAGGTGTGCCACAGATGTACTTACGTACTAATGACTCATATCTGTTTGTAATAAGACAGAGTTTAATTTTTTGGCCTTTCTTTGAATACTTATTTATAAATTATTGATCGCTTGATAATCAAGCCCTGCCTCTTCCTTTAGTAAATCTGTATTCCTCCGCGTCCGCGATGTTGTCCAGATAAATTCATAACATTGCTCAAAGATAATTTACTACTACTTAACACTCACACATCCTGTTTTGAACATCGTCAATGTATTAGCAATGTTTTTGACTTATTCTATCTTATTTCTAAGATAGGTAGGTAAACTAAAATAAATAATAATAGTAAGTACCAGTTAAATAAAAACAAAATGTCGTCTTAATTCTACTCGACAACACTCTGTGTAGTAGTGTGTAGCGTTGGTTCTAGAGTGGCCTGCGGCGACCTCGACACACTTGCTAAAATACAATACCAAATAAACACACGTCCACACATACATACATATTATATGAACATACATAAAACAGGTAATGCATAACTTATTTTAGAAGTCGTATTCGTATGCTTTGTCCGGTCCCGTCAAATCGTTAAAACCGCTCCCAGGATGGGATCTAGCGAGTCGTCATTAAAAAACCGTCCCTTGCAGGCGGTCATTGGCAGCGGGTGGGTCGAGCCGCATTCCTGTGCGCCAGCGCACCGCACGCACTCCTACGCCCACACGCACCGGCTCTCCAGTGTGCACACAGTTACCCGACCGACTCACGGAGCGCGCTGACAACATCCCGTGCCTGTACTTTGTGCCGTACTCGTTATTCGGTCGGTTCGCGGAGGCACCGGCCGCCCATACGTATCGCAGTCGTTCATTAATAACACGGCCGACCGTGTCACGGCTTCCGGCGTCCGCCTCGCACACTCCGCAGCCATTCAAATACGAATTGTATTCGCATGGAATGACGACGACGACGGCGACGCTGCACTCACTTACACAATGCAATACTACAAGTAGCTACGAGTAGTAAGCGCGCATTTAAATGAGGGGCTCACATTCATTGTTTAAGTAATGTGACATTTCACTGTAGCCTTGTTACACCTGTGTATCGGGAATATTGAGTTCACAATCGGCACTTGCGTAACAGCTAGGGCTCCGTTCACCCACGTGTAGGTAAAATTCGTGTAAGTATATCGTTAACATGATGAGATCGGACGGAACAACGAGCGACGGTCGCGTGGGCGAAGCAGCTCCCCTGAATGGACGTGTCGGCTGGTGATCGCCTACGCGCAACCCACGCACTGCGCACTACCTACTATGAGCCTACTAATGCCTAGTATATGCTGCCCACTGGCTGCCGACAGTAAATAATAATTATCTTGATGACCACTCACGCAACACTGATCCAATTTGGATTATGCGCATGTTTGACGCAAAATCTGTTTGTTGATGAACATTTACAATTCTGTGAGCTATGAACAAAAATCTGAATCAGACAAGACAATGTTGAAAAGTAAAACAATTGAACCAATGCGATATGCGATGGGACTAGGGATCGCTAGATGTGCTCAATACGATGCATACAGTATTTCTTTAAAATAAACTTCTACGTAGCTTTATTTATTTTTCTGTGTCTTTGTCAAACAAACATTCAAAATCCACAGCCAGTAAGATACAAATATGGCCTACACAAGCTGTTTGGACTTCGAGTTTTCTCTTGTCTGGGACTAATATGATTTCCGAAATGTGCTGTCCGTCAGTGATGACATTATTTTATAACTACATATTTATATCGCTGTTTAAATTCTATTATTGTTGAAACTATATTAAGTTATATTTATCCGTAATACCATTTCTTAACTGTAGCCAGGAATGTGTTACTTCATATATCAATAAGTTTTGACGAAATATAGTCTATATTATTATATAAAGTTATTATAATGTTGACCTTCAAATATGACGTAGATATTATAATGGGCAAACGTAACAACGATTTGGAGGACAAAATATTCTTGATATGGCAATATATTCGGCGACTTTCCGCGAATCTGGCATCGTTGCGTAGGTGGCAGGCTATCAACAGTACTCTGTACGGGGCATGGACGGCCGCGCATTCGCCTAATTTGATTGCTTTCAAAACAGCAAACTGAATGGCGACGAGACGATTCAGAGGGCGAATTTGGAAAAGTGTCGCGTGGGAGGAGACGCGTTGGAGCCTCGGGCGCGGGCGGGGTACGGGGCGCGAGGGGGTGGAGGAGTAAGGACGCGGCGCTGCGTGGGCGGCCATTGAGCCGCGGGGGCAGGTGAATGGTGAACCCCCAGACCTCCTCCCCCATTCAGCAGCCCCACGATCGATACCGCCCCGCGTCGCCCTGATGCCCACACATACAGCCACCAACACGCTTGGATGCGCCACCACCACGCTCTACACCGACGTTATGCTTATATCGCACTCTTGAAGGTCGATATCAGTTAGTTTTCCTAAAGATTAATGAAGCTCATGAGCGCCTATAATATCAAAGCATAGTCGTAAACATGAATAGTGCTCTTTGTTAACGATGAAAGAGTTTAGTAGTAGAATCAATTGTGGGATTAGCTTTATTAGGTTACGTTATGAACTGTGACTTGTAGGTTGCTTCCCTGATAAACGGACTCGGTGATCGTGTCACAAGCGCACGTGTGACTACCGAAAAACCCAAGTCAGGTTGGCAGGTAGAGCGAAGCGAGCCTTTTTTGGGCTTTTCAGATATAAGCAGAATGTGACTTTAGTTAATTTAGAATGTGACTATATTAAAATACTAACAACAGTAATTAATGTGTATTCTCTGTAACTAACACGCGTGCCATGCCTGTTCCAGGTCGCTACGTATCTCTGGCTCTGGTTGCGAAGAGGCTCTGTCCTCGGGCTCATCATCCGAGTGCGAGGACACGCACGGCCACGTCCCGCAAGACTTCCCCATCGAGATCCTGCCCAACCTGTACCTCGGCAACTCCACCAACAGCGAGGACTGTGATGCGCTCGCTAGGCATAATATTAAGGTATGTACAAGTTAAACTTACCTATACTTTTATCTTACTTATCCGTCCTCAGATATAAATAGATATTTATTCTGATGGTACTACTAATGCAATATTAATCTTTATCTTCACTGTCATTGTGATACATTACATTTTATATAAGTAATAAAATTATTATATTTGGGTTTCAAACTTCTTAGTTTTTTTTAATCTAATTAAAATTAAGTCTTCGATTAAATTTTAGAGGCTCACATTGTATACTTTTATACCAAATTCCTTTTGTTTTCGTTTTTAGAGTTACTTATAAAAATATTTTGTGTTTGTCAATAACTCACTCAAAAAAAAATTACCTCCGTACGACAAAAGTATGTTTACGCGAAAGTCGACCTAATTTGAACGTGTAAGAAAATAATCATGTTGAGTCAGTTTTTAAATTAGTCCATTGTACAACTTCATCAAAGGGCTGACACAATATTTTTTGTATTTCCAGTATGTGTTGAACGTGACCCCAGACTTACCCAACACTTTTGAAGCGGAGGGCTGCGGTATCAACTATTTGAAAATACCCATCGCGGACCATTGGAGTCAAAACCTCTCCGTACACTTTCCACAGGCCATAAGATTTATTGGTAAAATTCTTCTATTTGTTATTCGCCATGCCAACCAGATTTTTATATGTTGACCGTCGCAGCGTTCAAAGAGGAATCTTTCTCGCTAAGCGGTAAGCTTACTCAGCGGGCGATTGTGATAAGAGTGCGTGTGTCCACAGAGGAGGCGATGTCGGCGCGCTGCGGCGTACTGGTGCACTGCGTGGCGGGCGTGTCGCGCAGTGTCACCGTCACGCTCGCCTACCTCATGCAGCGCCACCGCCTGTGTCTGCGCGACGCCTTCGAGCTGGTGCGCTCGCGCAAGACGGACATCGCGCCCAACTTCCACTTCATGCGGCAGCTGCACTCGTTCGAGCGGGACCTGGGTCTGCACGAGCACAGCGCCAGTCTGAGTAAGGTCCGCACCGCACCGCGCCGCCCCGGCCCGCGTGTGGGCGCGCGTGTATACAGTGGTGTCCCCGCAGGTGCTGGAGGCGCTGGGCGCGCGTGAGACGGGCGCCGGGGGCGCCGAGGCCGGCTGCGGGTGCGCGGCGCCGCAGGGCGTGTCGCCCGACTCGGGCATCGAGTTCGACCGCTGGAGCGCGGCGCGCGACACGCCGCAATGACAGTTCTTCTCGGCGCCGCAGCGGCCCCCGCCCCCCTAGTTCCCGCACCGCTCCCCCCGCGCCGGTAGCGAACGCACTGCCGGCTGTGATTTATCTGTTAGTACTAAGTGAGTCGGTTTAACGTAAAATTATCCTATAAACATAATTTAAGTCAATTTTATAAGTTCGACATGTCCGGATGTACGACTTGAGATGCATTCCCGAGTAATCTTCCATTACGCTATGCATTTTGTATCATTTTGAAGTTATTTTGTAGTGTGCATTGTACTATATTATTATTGTTAGGTTCACAGAAATTATAATAGCCATTTGACGAGTTGTGTTGTCCATTGATGTTTAACCTCTGTGAGGGTGACGCGCCGTGTAGAAGAGGTGACTACACGTCACTAGTGCCACAGCATTCAATCCAAAAACATAATACAAGGTATTATTTGTTAAGATTGGAATTATTATGAGTGTTCGATTATAATATTTTTTTAAATTGAATTAAGTCCATTTTTTAGTAGAACATTGTAATGACACGGGGCTTCTAATATCTCTTCCATTGTTGTTGATATATGTATATTGTACTAGTATGAGAGTGAGTGCGCGAACGTGCGTGTGATATTATTATATAGTCGTAACTATTGGTCGTATGAATACTATATTTACAATTTTACCGCCACACTAGTGACCACTGCTGCTGGCTCCGACTAATCAACCGTGTGTCACTCGACCGACATATATTTACAAATTGATAAATATTTTATACGAAAACGGATATAGGATGAATGACTATTTGAAATTATTTTTATATTAGTTTACTGGTCTTAGAATCTATTAGCAGCAGAACAATTAATGTATAAATGTTCTGGTTTGTGGTCAGTAACAATTAGTGTGGAATCTATTTATAATTCACACCTACTACGTAACAGTTTGAATGATAAGGTCTTGATATGACTATTTTTATATGAATTATAATACACAGTATATGCAGTACTCTAGCTATATAGATAGCATATTGAATATGCAATAACACTTAACATTGCAGTTAAAACCCGAACTCGTTAGTATTATGCTTTTAGTTTAGCTTGGTTTAAGGTAAAGTGAGGTGCCTAGCGCCTAGCTTACTAGAAGGAAGCCAATAAATAGTAGCGGGTTGTCGCACGACCAAGTACAAATTATATTGAGAATCTCGTGCGAATACCTTGACATGATGCACTTTAATGTTTTATTACACACGGTTAGCCATAGCAATCCTATTATTTCCCACAATTCTTTAAAATGTAACTGTGGGTTTCAAGTGAAAACGCCTGTTATAAGGTTATCTAACTCGTGTGGTGTATGTGCCAATCCTTTGCCTAATAAAATTAGTACAAGCTTATTTTATAGCCATTACGCCTTGAAAGGCAGGTTAGTTATGATTAGCATGAGTACAGTTTATTTTATTAGTAAGTTAATATTAAAATTGTGTGATGGGACGGCAACGAACCTTACCGCTTAGCGACGCGGGCTGTACTGCTGTACATTATCAGAAAGTGTTAGCGAGTTCGGGCTTGAGCCGCATCGTACAAATCCTCCGCCTCGCAGCCGGGCAAAGACAGTAAATACGTGATATTTTATTTTACTATTGACGTTTCCATTGGCATTTATCATTTACTGATTTGAACATAATTGTATATTTTTCTATATGTTGCGTAGTTTCATGAGTTATAACCGATAGTATGTAAATAAAAGAAAGGCAAGCTTTAATATTAAGTATGTTAATTATGATTATGAAATGTAGAAAAATTGTTACAATGTAAATTTGTTATAGATTAAGACTTAATTGAGATTCCGCTTCCTTAACATTGAATGCCAATTTATTACGTAGTATTTGGACGTCGATCCAAATTAGCTAACATTTATGTTACTTTCTTTTGTAACGAAAATGTAATATTTATTATTTTTAGATAAATATCTTCCACGTTAAACTAATATTAGACACAACCAGTTTAGCGGAGTTGTAATTATTGTAAGTCACATTTCCAAACTAGTAAGGTGGAAGATTATGCCAAAGTTCACTGTCATTTAAAATTACGTCACGGAAAATAAGGAAATATTAATTATCCACCGTTACGAAGTAAATATTTGTTACTTTAGTTTAAACAAAATAATTTAGGTGTTTTGGTACAAACCGCCTTTACATTCTGAATGTTTCTAATTGCACTATATATTGTAAAATTTTATATTTCTAGATATAACGTAATATTATAATTGTAGTGCACAAACTAATGTCTGTTCGATGTTGCCGTTGTGCAGTCAATCTGGATGGAAACAAACAAGTTATGTATATAGTATTGTATCATTTCTGTTATGATATGAAACTCATGTTAACTGATGACGATGTTGATAATATTTTAGAAAATCTTTTAGTGCTTTTTCCTAAAGGTACCTAAAGCCACAAGGCACACGTAATATTAACCTCAAAACAAATATAAACACTGTTAATCTATTACAAGTTCTTTGATTTATTTTTCCTTAGTTCCATATGGTTTGTTATGCAAATTACTCCATCCAGTCTTAATGCTTAACCCTTAATAGCCTAGAGTTTCAAATTTGATACCAATCTTTTAAACCGAATATTCACATTACTATTAGTTTTTTTTTATAGGTTGGCTGTATGTATTTTACTGTTGTCTAGTATTCTTTCCAACGAAATGAAAAAAAAAATTAAATGTCATTATTGTTTTATTTTATCTATGACATATTACTTGCGCGGCAAAGCGAACAAGTAAACATGGTTTACCAAAAGTTTTGTTGAATACAAATTTGATATATTTTCTTTTTCTGAAGAATATAAATACTTTTGAGGTAAGTGAATATATTATTTTTGCTATGATATAGTTATTTTTGCGAGTGCATGTTTTACTTGAAGAAATTTGTGCTAAATTTGTGAGTATCAATAATTTTGATACTTCAGGCATTCCGCCCTACATAAAACCTACCTACTAATTCTTTAGCTATAAAAACTTTTTGAACTTTCGATTCATTATTTTTCTGCATAGCTTGGTGTTGGGATTACTTTTATTTTTATTTTATTATAGAAATTTATCAAATATGCGACCAGAAGAGATTGAGAGCATATTGAAGCGGTTAGAAAATGGTGAAATTTCGGAAGACGATTCCACCGACAATGAAGATGACATAGACTATTATTCGAGCCAAAGAGATCGTCTTATGGAGCTAGAAGATGAAGAGGATGTAGGTAATTTTCCCACTGACCCAAACTTGGATGCAGACCCACCTGGAGCAAACGTAGATACCGACATGCAACATAATTTAGAGACTGTTGAACGAAGCCCAACTCCTACAACCAGCAGCCAGAACAACCTGCAATCTGCACCTTTCAACTCTAGAAACTTAGTGTGGAGAGTAAAGAATATGGACATAGTCCAAAATGCTTTTCAGTTTGCTGGAAACACTGAGTATTCACAAGAAATTATGAACTTAGACACTCCTTTTCATTTTTTTTCTTATTTTTTCGGAGAAGAAATTTTGAAATTTCTATTGGACGAGTCAAATAAATATGCCTTCCAAAAGAATCCCAACTTTACAGAACCTGTAACTGTCTTAGAATTACGTAAATTTATTGGAATTCTTATTTTTACTAGTGTATATCATTATCCTAGTGTCAGGTCATACTGGTCAAACATTACAAAGTTTGAACCCATAGCACAAACAATGAATCGCAACAGATTTGATAAAATTAGACAAATTTTTCACATGAATGACGACTCTAAACATTTGCCCATTGATCATCCCCAGCACGACCGACTGCATAAAGTAAGACCAGTGATAGACTATTTGAACAAGAAATTTATTACTGTACCATTTGAGCATCGTCTATCACTAGACGAGCAAATGTGTTCCACTAAAATTAAACATTTTATGAAACAATACTTACCCAACAAGCCCCATAAGTGGGGATTCAAATTATACGTTTTATGCTCTCTGTCTGGGTATGCCTACAGTTTTGAGATTTACTCAGGAGCTAAGGACATAGACCGTTTACCTGGCGAACCAGACCTCGGAGCTGTATCGAATACAGTTATTCGATTGTTACGACCAGTACCAAGGCACGTCAATCATATAACTTATTTTGACAATTTTTATACGAATATTCCTCTGCTACATTATTTGACCGACGAAGGTATTTATTGTCTTGGAACAGTTCAAAGAAACAGGCTTGGAAAGTCGTGCAAGTTGCCGGAGAAACGGGAAATTATGAAGTCTAACGTACCCAGAGGAACATATCACGAAAATGTGGCCTCTTACGAAGGCCACGAATTTTCGGCCATAAGTTGGAAAGACAACAAACAAGTTCTATTACTTTCCACGTATGTTGGCGCTGAACCAGCGGATACTATAACCCGCTACGAAAAAAAACTAAAAACCAATGTTCAAGTATCATGTCCTCGGGTCATAAAAGAATATAATGCACACATGGGCGGCGTTGATTTAATGGATAGCTTCATTGGTCAATATCGCATCCGCATAAAGTCGAGAAAGTGGACAACGAGGCTCTTCTACCACTTGTTAGACATGACTGTCATCAATGCTTGGGTACTTTACAAAAAAGTAAACACAAAGAAAGGAAAGCTTCAGAAGAATATTATGAAGTTAGCAGATTTTAGAACTGAGCTTGCCGATACTTTATGTAGATATCAAAACCACTCAAAAAATAATAGGGGAAGACCTAGTACCAACAGTCGACAAGACACTACAGTACCTTCTAAAAGACCCCGGACAGGTGTACAAGTACTACCCTCTACTGACGTGCGATGCGATTGTATTGGTCATGAAAAAATATTTATGGATTCTAGAAATAAATGTAAATTTAATAATTGTAGGAAACTTACCTCTTGGTTCTGTAAAAAGTGTAAAGTGTCGTTATGCGATAATAAAAACAATCAATGTTTCGCATTATTTCATGCATAGATATATAATGATTTCTTAATGGCGTTAATGCCTGAAGTATCAAAATTGATACCGGTTGTTTTTTCTAAATAAATATGTAAAATAAATATTGTGATTTTTTTAGCTATTTTTCCCTTCATCTAGACTCTCAAGCAAACACAGTAATATTAAAAATAAATCACTTTCGTAAATCAGGCTACTAAGGGTTAACTACATTGCAAACATGAGTTAATTTTGTGTTTGTTTATGGTTCAAACTGGTTTTATTTGCTTTTTCGTTTACACAATTTCACACTTTTTAAGCCGAATTTTATAGAACCATACTCAAGCGGAAATCTCTTTACAAGTACTATGAAAAAGGAGTTTATTTATTTATTTATGTATTGGAAAACTAACAGCTACACATAGTAACCAAATAGTGGCAAAAAACATTGATGCAAATACATTCAAGAGATACCTATGTGTATCCCTTGTTAACTTTGCTTGAGCAGACATCTTCGGTCGAGTTTCGTTATAGAGTACCGGCCATAAACTCATTTATAATTCTACATAGAAAAATGCATTCCGATTTCCCTTGAGCATCGCATTACGCGTAAACGAATGATTTCGCTAATTCCTTTTTTTTATTATGTCTGCTATATTGCCAAAAGGTTCATATAAAAAACCCGATCCTTGTCGGTACAGATAAGAACTTCATTTAAATTATTTTTAGCGAAGTTTAAAAACTATCTGTAAATAGCAGATAACAAACTGATGCATCAACTCACAGCCTAAACTGTTACTTATCGTAGAGAACTTATCTCTGGATGACCTGGAAGGTAAGAAAGGATTATCCGAAATTCTGCTAAAGGGAGGTATCTATGTAATCCATTTAGCGCGCACAACTATGTATACATCATTATCATCATCTATAAGTGCCCACTGCTGAGCAAAGGTCTCTTCTCACTCGGAGAAGGTTAGAGCATTAATTAATCGCCACGCTTGAACAAGGTGGATTGGCAATTTCAAACTTATAATATGAAATTGCCCAGGTTTCCTCACGATGTTTTCCTTCACCGTCTGTCAGTGTCTAAATACTCTTAGAAAGTACATATAACTCGAAAAGGTGCATTAGTACTTGCCGGTTTCGAACCCACACCCTCATGCACGAGAGGTGGGCGGCATCTCCCGGTCACCACCTCATTGTTGTAAACATTCAGTTATACAGGTCAAACTGACTACCTCCTTTTCCCTAAGTTGGTTAAAAAGTATGTATGTAGTAAAAGGTATGTAGTGTAATTTACAAACTTTTGTAATCAAAGGATTTTTTCAAATGTCATTTCTGTTATTCTATATCATGTATGAAAATGTACCAGAATACACAACAAAAATCGTGTTTGGTCGTTTTGTTGCAATAATTCATATTTCGTACAAGGTACTAGGACTTCATAACATAGCAAGAAGTGCGTTTGTTTATAAAATAGCCATAATATATTCTGATATAGTTGCTGGATATAGAGGTAGGTGCTGTTAAAATGTATACTGGGGCGGCACGACAACGTAGTAAGTAGTACAACATTGTAAGAAAAAATAATTAGAAATATGTATAATCATTTTGAAAATACATACATAATTTATATTAAGTGAAGCTGTTGCCGGACCCGCAATTATAATATAAAAATAATTAATTGATGGTAATTTACTTTGTCGAAGTTTGTTGATTATTGAAAGATTAGGTCCTACGAGTGTATTTGGGAGGCATTGAAATAAAACATGGATAATGTTACTTTATTTATTTTCAAAAGAAAGGAAGGACAATAGCTACCGTTAATAACAAATATAATTAGTTTTGCATAATAATAATAATAATCATTCGAATTGTTGCTTAAATATTCATGATATCTATGTTGACATTTTCAAGCGTAATTATATACAGTATAGCTATAAAAATCATTAAAACTCCTTTCTAAAAATTAATCTCAATCTTTCTCTAATTGACTATCGTTGGGTGTATACTGGGAACTTACGGAACTGAATTCCCAGGAACTAATCTAACTCTACCCTCACGTAGGCCTTCCATCTCGTCGACTCGTAGTCAAACAGTTGCTACCTCTCTATCATCGAATAAACATTTACATATACAAACAGGTGTACAAAAAACCTTAAATAATCACAAGGATTCCTCTACCTACATTATATACAGTAAATTGGTGCTATAAATTGTTAACCATAATAATGTAATGAGTAGCGACCTAGTGTTCCGACAGCCAAGTTCTATAGCTAATTATGTGGATTGTATGTTGTGACCGAAGTAATAAGGTAAGAATTTCACTATCTACTCAATTGACTTATGTTTTGTTACATGTCTGTGATTTATAAGCATTATCATAATTAATACTGTCGATCTATCAGAGGTTTAACGTATATAAGAAAACAAAATAAAGAGAGCGGCCTCGTGGTCTTAATTTGTAAAATAACAATAAAGCTCGCACATTCGCTGTTTCAACATTCGTACATTATATTTAAACATTATTTTGAGTAGTTAATGTCATATAACAATTTCAATACACAATTAACATACCTCTTGATAAATCTTGGTTGCCACTATATAAACAATAAGTTCGCCACTACATGCGGGTTTGCCACCACGGAACATGTTTTGGCACAAACACGTGCTTACACTATAAAATTTATGTATTTACAACAAAGTCTTCACAATATCTTATTGCTTTTTGTTAAAATTCGAATTGTAATAACAGGGTCAATTTCAAAGAAATAATATTGGAAAGATAACAACCGCTATAGCGGAACATATAATACATTCAGGTTTCATAGGAATGCTTCCATAACATACATATTTAAATAGAAAAGAAACAATGTTCTTTGGAATGTCACGAAGTTACAAATAGAAATGGATTACAATGCATTTACTACGTCGCGCTGTGAAAATATGATGGATATGTAAATTTACTTTTTAAGGTACATGCAAAGGCACCCACTGATGTCGACTTATATTTGGTCCTCCCGGAGAATAAACTTTATAATTATTTAAACGGAAAAATCCATTATACGATATACATGGCACAATAGTTCCGACTTTAATTCATAAGATGTGCCCGTTGACAATAATATATTAAAATACCGAAAATATTAATATTATAGTAATATATAAATTTTGAATTTTATAATCAACTATTCCCTATATTATTACGATATGGTCTGGTAAATTGAAATGTATAAATATAAATTATCATTGCACTAGCTGCTAAAGCGACATCTTGTAAACATCATTCAAAATTGCGTTACCATAAAAATATACCTATTTGAGAAAGAAAACTCACTTCGATTTTATGATTAACATACAAAATTGGTGCCATTCTTATCCAAAAGAAATCATGCACTTTTGGTACATGAAATCTATTCAACTTTGAGTGGTTTAAATTATTTCACTTGAAAGATCTCCTTCAGTTACTTGCGTGAAAGCGAAAATAGTGTCATTATATTCGTCTATAAATTACTTCTTTATATTATTTAACATTTATAAAGATGAGCTGCCGAAAAGCTGCATTCGTTTTTTATTTATAAAACCACATTATTTTCGCTAACACATATTTATTTGAAAAGGTATATAAAATAATTAGTTCAATATAATACTGGAACGCAATCTGTAACGTATCGCTACAGTTTTGCTATATCTCTATTAAACCACATAAAAGAGTTATGTAATTGCTCTGTAAGTACAATTTATGTACAAAATGTATGTAATCATAATGCATTAAAGTTTAATCATAGTCATCATAGGGATTAATGTACCGCATCGATGTCTCGCTGCGCGCGTGATATTTTGACCTGCAAATAATATTGACTTTGTTTATTTCGGGTGTTTATTTTAACCCAAGTAAAATTTAATATTCTTATTTATGACAAGGTGAAAGGGCCGTTTCAAACCATTCGCTCAAACTAGCGCTTAATTTGAAAATGGCCAAAGACTGCAGATGAGGTACACTATGCAGGATATATTCGTAGGTGTTCAGGCGGCGCGGTGCGAGTGTGTTACCTTGTCCTTGGGCGTGGACGCCTCGCCCGACTCCAGCGCAAACATCTTCATCTTCTCCTTGAAGGACAACTGCTCCGGTACTGGCGCCGTCGGCGCGCGCGCTTGTTGCTCCGCCAGGCGCCGCGCGCGCGGGTCCCTGCGACACGACATCATACTTTATATCGCAACATTCGAACGTTACTATAACTACACCGCGACGACGAAAAGTGTCTTGCAGTTGCACCATAACGTTGCGTTTAACGATAAGTGTGCTAAATACGTCAAATACAGACATTTTGTGTGATCATATTATTAAACTATATCGAGACAAATAACAAATAAGTCACTACAACGTGCGACGTGTATAATTATGTAATACGTAATATTTTACCGGTAGACTTCCTGCGCGCCGATGACGCCGGGTGTGTGCGTGAGTCCGGGCGCGCTCGGAGTCTGCGGCGACACCGGGCCTGCCAGCATACTCTCAGCTTCCTCGATGAACCGCTAAAATACAGAGTATTTTAAGTTAATTTAAGATTTTAGAATTGTATTCTAAAAGGTAAACCATTGAGAATAAGTGTATGTATTTAAAATTGTAGGTGGGTACATACGTCGGGGTCCTCCCTGGCGGGCGCGGCGTGGGCGGGCGGCGCGGGCGGCGCGGGGTCGTGCAGCGGGGGCGGGGAGCTGGCCGGGGGCGCGGGGGGCGCGGCGCGCTCGTGGAACGACACGCGCTTGTCCCGACCGCCGCCTACTGGAGACCTGCACATGTGCAATTATTTGCTTTGTGTAATTGTTCATAATGAATGTTTAAAACTAAGAATTTAATCAAATGCAAAATAGCTTGTAATGGATTAAACAGTTGGAAGTTATTTTTTAATTTGAGTCAAGAAACATGTCGTGTATGTTGAAGGTATGTAACGTATGAGAGTGTCGTACTGCGGGGGCGCGTCGTGCGCGCGGGCGGGCGAGAGTGTCCGCGCGCGCTCGGCCATGACGGCGAAGGACGAGCCGCGCGCGGGGGGCGGGGGCGCGCCCGGCGCCGGGGGGGGCGCCGACATGCTGAGCGTGCTCATTCCCGACGTCACCTCCGACACGCGAGTCTCTTCGTAGTTCACCTGCTAACGTAACAACTTGATATTCCTCACATACAAATTATAAATATTATGTTTCCACTATTACTTCTTATAATTTAAGGAAATGACACAGATTTTCTTCAGTTTAAGTCAAAACTATTGAGTAAATATTTCAATTGTATGCATTAATTTGCGTTTTCACGTTTTTCTGTGTGAAATATATTGTGTATGTGTAAGTATTAATTATATATCGTAATTATCGCTTGAATGACATTTCAATTACAAATTCCTCTCAAATGCACAATACTTTCAATAATTTTAATATTTACGTTAAACACAATTAAAATCTGATACAAGACATTAAATAACATTACCTGTTCGGTAGTGTATCCGTTAGTGATCTCAGTCCGTGTGTTAGTCTTGAGTATGGACTTGGGTGGGTTGGGGGGCTGTGTGAGGGTGTGGGGGGGTGCGGGGGAGGCGGCCAGGGGGGACGACGGCGCGTCGTCCACCATCTCTTCGGAGTCATCTGCGCCTTCCGCTGCGTTACTTTCCTCCTGATAAGTCGTAAAAACTATTAAAAATCCAGATTTTTAAGTATACAAAATATCAGAAAATAAACGCACAAGTTTGTACAAGAATAAAGAAAAAAATATCGCCTTTGAAAGTTCAGAAAATATATAATTAAGGTTTTTCGTACCGGTTGCACGTAAAATACACATCATTTAATTTTCATACTTTTTTTCGCATTTAATTAAGGAATTCAGTATTAGTTTAGTATTTCCTAAGCAATAGTTTGTTGGATAATATAAATAAATTTATATTCTTGTTTACCTGATCATGCTGAGTGGCTCGCAGTTCGAAGTCTCTCTCTAGTTGTAACGCACGCAGTTGTTGATTCTGAACGGGCGTGCGCGCCGCCCCTAGTGATATCAACTGGGCGATCGTTGCGTCCCTACAAATATTTTATATAATTATATAGATATGGGAACATAACTGTCAAAAGAGCTAGCTCGATTAGTTTCAAGGCACGCTAGGAGGGTTCATAATTAAAAGCAATATTGATTGCGACGCATATTTTCCTAGCTGTAAACCTCTAGTGTGGCTGGAAAGTACCACATATTAGTCGAAAAGATTAAAATTTGTATGGGGTTCTGAAAAATGTGTAAATGTAAATTGAGTTGTTACCTGCGAGCCCTTGCGGCGGCGCGGCGCGCCTCGTGCAGCCGCTCGCGCTCCTCGCGCTGCCACGGGTTGTGCGGCGCGCGCCCCGCCCCGCCCGCGGCCCCGCCCGCCGCGCCCGCCCCGTACACCGACACGGACGGAGGCTCGAGCGCACTCGCCACGTACCGCTCTAAATCATACCAACACATATTATGACTTTCATGTTTTAGTGATTACTGTAAAAATTATCAAATCTATTCAAGGACTAATTACTTTCGCGCGGTTTCACCCACTGCTCGGCTTCTATTGATTGTTTCGTAATGTTTCATTGCCTATAGTCTTCTCCGATAAATGGACTATCCAACACAATAATAATAATTTAATTCAGTTCCGGAGATTCTACGTTCAAACAAAATCTTTATATTTAAAGTACATTAAGTATGAACAACACATACCGTCTTCTGGCTGCACAGTACTCGACAGTGGCTGTTGCGGTTGTGGGTATGATTGTTGGTGTGACTGTGGATGCGACTGCGGATGTGATTGCGGATGCGACTGCGGATGTAATTGCGGATGTGACTGCGGATGTGATTGCGGATGTGCCTGCGGATGTGATTGCGGATGTGACTGCGGATGCGCTTGTGAATGCGGATACATTTGCTCTTCCATATCCATATCTGGTCTCCTTGCACCCTGTTACAGACAATATACATTTATTTTCGATTTTTTTGCAACCAACAAAGTCATTCTTTTTTTAGTTGAAAGTCAAAATTTTTGTACCTGAGGTTTTGGAGCGACCGGTGGTTGTGACCTCTGTGGTGATGGAGGTCCAGGGGGCATCCATTCGTACCTGTAAGGTTAAAATGAATATTGAATGAAAATACGAGCATGCACGAAAAGATTAATGACTGTTGATGAAGCGAAGGAGGTGTGTAGGAATCGTAGCAATAGTCTCTGCCTACCCCCATTGGAGACAGGCGTGAAGTTATGTATGTATGTAATTCACAAACTGCAATGCAGTCATAGGTCTACAAAGAAAAATACATTCGTTTTTCATACGAATACCGAACATGAACATAGCAGAAAATGTTTTTAGTTTTTAGCAGAAAAACTTTTTAGTTATGAATCCACGCTCTGAAAGACTTATAGCTAGCCATGTTTCTATTGCTTAACGTTCAAAAGTAATATAAACGTAAACTTGACACAGGAAAAACGCCTAGATAGGGCAACATAAAAGAAATATTTGATATCTTTCTGTGATGAACAAAAATAAATGTAGTTTGATTCCTTACCTCTGCGGCGGTTGATGTTGGTTGTGATATATCTGGTGCGGACTCTGTGCGTGTACATGCAACATGGCGGGGGACGTGCCCAGCTGGGGGGACTGCTGGGGGAGCTGGGGGAGTGGCCCGTACGGACCCGTCGCCATTTGCAACTGGCCTTGACCTGCGATTACGTATTATTTAATTAATGTCACTTGGAATATAAAAACATGTTTACCATGTGAAATAACTGACATGTTACTTGACGATACGATGGATTTGCAAAAAAATTGGGGTGAAATAAAGCTCGGACCCCTAACTCAAAGGACGGTAACGCTTTTTTAACACCTTTTGTCACCTCTACGAAGGGCGCTGTTTAATCTGATCCGTCTGTCGTTTGTTGACTTATTTTGCTATTCAGATTCACCAACAAAGAGATCAGTGTACGCCCGTAGGGGCGACACTGATCACTGACCATGAAATGACTCGTTGACAAAACAAAGAACAATGAGTGTGATGTCATTACCGATGAGATGGTGGTGCGTGGGCAGTGGCTGGTTGTACGCGTGTCGTCGCGCGACCTCGTCCGACATCTCGGCCAGCTTGGCCGCGCGCGCCGCACTCGCCGCACTCGCCGCACTCGCCTGCTGGACATATCAACGCCTTAATATTACAATATGTTGTCTGATTTTCGACTTTATATCAAAATTATAAAGTTTAAAAAAATCAAATTCAGGAGGTTGACATGCTGACTATCGGACATTACAATGGGCATAGTTCCTATATAAATGTTTATTCCTAGTTATTACTGTATCGAAAATAAAAAGCTTCGTAATGATTTGCTCGACCCGAGACGCCGCTTGGCAGCTGCGTTTGAAACTATGCATTAATTGAAAGTTAACGTATTTAGAATTGATAAATAAGCGGTAATTAATAACGACGATAGTATTAATATACTATATAATATACGATAAAAACTTCAATTTCCATACCTGATGATGTAATGGTGAGTCAGGCGCTTCAGCTTGCCCGCCTGCTGCAAAGTGCGCTGACTGCGGTCTGTTACTACCCGTAGAACTGCGGAGCGAGGACCATCTGAAATTAAACCAATAATTATGAATAAGCATCTATTCGACCAATAAATAAACAAAGAAGACCACCATATGAATTATTGTTTTGGATTATTAGTTAGCATTTTGGAGTTAAAAGGCCAGTTTTAATATTATTAATATTAACTTGTCAGACAGTTAATAGTAACTATTATATATTAATATTAACAGTTAATAGTAAAAAAATATTAATAGTAACAGAGTCAGTCAGTCAGTCAGTAAAACTGGCCTTCTATAATAATAATATAGGCCAGTTTTACTGACTCTAAAATGTACTATCCATCAAATATGTTTTTTAACAACTATCGTGAATTCGTGAGACATACTGAATCAACTAAAAAATTACGAGTTACCCAAGTAAATATATATACTGAGAACTGGTAGAACTCATAATATTTACGTGAGTGACTCGTAATTTATGAGTAGCTTATGAGTGACCTAAGAAACAATATAATTCGTCTTGATTAAGGCTCATTTCTTCTCTGTGTGTGTTTTCTCAGTAGGAGAATAGTTATATGGTGATGCCAATGTGAAACTGGCTGTGAATGAAGTTTTGTAATAGTCACCTGTCTTGTAGCGCATGTTGTTGCGAGTGCACGGTGGAGAGGTTCTGGTAGAAGCCGTCGTGTTGAGTGGGCGCGGACAGGTTGTGGCTCGACCGGGACTTGCTCGGCCACGCCGCGCCCGCCACGCTCGTCGCCGGGGAACTTACTGCCACGCTGCGTAGTAACAAATATTATAAGGCATAGACTCTTATTAGTTCTTACGGTTTTTAAGTTTTTAGCTTTCAAGTTACTACTTACATTCCTAACCACTTAACTACTTGAGTATATGAGATATAAAAAATACATTATCTCTCATATGGGTTCACGTTCCGGTATTTTACAGGTTGAGAGGAATAAGTACCTATTTAAGTGACGTAATAAAACTATTATCACAATTTTTAGGAAAATTGTCTGTCACAATTCGAATGAAATATTTATTGAATTTGAGTAACTGGAAATTACTTGTAGAGTGGTTATTTACTGAGGCATAGTGTAAGAATGATAGTTAAAGCTTACTTGGCAGGCGTATGTTGGTGTGGTGGCGGCGAAGCGACGTGATGCAGCGCGGGCGTGCTCTTGCTGGACTTGACGCCCGCCTCCGCCGCCAGCCGCGCCGGCAGGTCGCGCTCCGACGCGCGCCGGACCGCGCCGCCCGCGCCGCCCGCGCCGCCCGCACCGCCCGCACCGCCCGCACCGCCCGCTACAACGGACACACGCTCGTCACACAAACATCGACACATTATTGGTACAGCTATACAAATTGTAACACTACAACATAAAATAACAAAACATTACTTCCTAAGCAAAAAACAAAGAAACGAGTGCGAATAAATGAAACAATATCGAGATTGCATAAAAAACAACAAATAGAGAACCCATGCAGAAGATACAACGAACGCTTCGTTCAAATTATAGACGTTCTCCGTTCTGTAATCAGCTAATCAGAAGCACAAACGAAGCTTTATTATTCACATAAAATAATATCTGGACCTAGAAGATAAATTTCATGTGAATGAATTACAAAAGCTTATCCGTTATTTAGTGTAGAAAATAAAATATTTGCTCTTAAAGTGCACAGTTTCGAAAAAACAAAAGATCTAGTAATGTAACGAAAAGAAATGTGTGCGTCCAGCTATAACACACCTATCGTCATGCGTGTGAGGGAGCCTTACACGTGCGCGCGGAGAGATCGGGGCAGGAGCCCGCCACTGCCTCGCCCGGCCGGACCATCGCAACCACTCGAGGCACAAGATCTGAACATTCCTTGTGCGAACTCCCGCTCACATCCAACGATTCTTTACTTTGTTTTGCTTGATCAGAATTCATACTTGACTGATTTGACTTTAACCTAATGTTATCCAACGTAATCCGTTTTGGTTTTTTGTCAATTATCTCTGAGAACACATATCCATTTGTAGTGTTGTCTGTGTGTTCCTCAGAGGGCAGGTTTGGTACTTCAAACTCATTACCATGCGCTAATGTGTCCTCGCTACCGCGTGAGCCGTATTTGGACCAGTCTTCCAACTGGATGAGGATGCTTTTCACTTCGTCATCCGATAATTTCTCACACTTGGTGTCACTAGTATCAGTTTTATTGCACTCGTATTGTATATCCGCTAAACTGGCACTAGTGGGAAGGTTTTCAATAACTTTAGGAGCCTTATCATCGCAATCGCGAACACTGAGGTTTGGACTCGATTGACAATTTCGTTTGTAATTTTTAACACAATACTTTAAATTGATATTGTTAAAATGTTTCGTTAATTCTTTAACTTTACCGAAGACAGGCCTGTATTCATCAGGAGATTTCCACGACTTTCGGTCTACACTATCTAATATTTGTTTAGCACCGGGGTTGTTATCTACAGGAGTTTGAGCTTTAACAGTGCCGACATCATATTTAACTTCATTATTTGTCTCATCAAAAGAATCAGACGTAGAGTAAGTGGACGGAATTTCAGTATCTTCAGATTTGCCTGAAAGAGATGTCGACATGCTATATAACGCTCTTTTCAGCCTGCACTGTATATTCTCTATTTGATCGTAGTCTTTCTTAATATCCAAGTTAAGCTCGAGTTTTCTTTTAGGAGTCGGTTCTGGATCCATTGGTGATGAGGGCGTCTGACAAACTGCGTCTGCAGTTTCAGGTTTTTGATCAGAGTCCGGTTGGTCAAGGGACAATGAAGGCAATATTCGTCGTATTTTTGGTGTAGCGACTTTGTTCGGCGGACCTTCATTTTCAAATATCAATGGTTCCGAGTTTGGTTCATCGATGTAAGGAATCTGTTGTGTCTCAGGTTGAGGCGTACGACAACATTCGCAAGCGCTCACGCATTCGTCGATACCAGTACAACGCTGTCTATAGAACTCGTTCTCTCTGCCGCGTGAATTGAATAAATCTAGGGTTAGCTTTGTGTCTATAGGCTCCATCTGAGGAGGTAAACAGATAGAGTCTCCGTTATCACTCGACTGGTCGTAATTGGCAGGAGGCTCGGGTACTGGAGGTGGCTCATCCGGAGGAGACTCGCACCGAGCCGGTTGCGATTCACATTCCTCGGGCTGACTCGTGGCGTTACTACTTGTCTGTTGTTCATCAAAGTCCTCGCACGTGAACGTAAACACGGGAATAGGGCGTGGCGGTGGGGCATTGGTTCTTAGTTCGATGGGACAGCCCGGTGTATCCGGAGACAAGTCTTCCTGCAACTGGTTATTTTCTCTATCTAGCGTTACTATCAATCTAGGAATGGAACCGTGATACTGAGGTTGCCAATCCTCGCTTTCGTCTGTACTCGATTCTGTAGATTCATCTCTTAAGAAATGACATCGATTGTGGCAAGGCCGACGACCGTACCCTGCAATAGAGACTTCCATGAACATCAATCCAACATTTAAAACATTGCTACCGAAGCGCTAAATAAAAAAGGAACAAAAAGAACTCAAAAGAAACCTGCAAAGAATATTCAGCAAAACATCCGCAAAGATTAAAAACTGCAAAAAAAAGTAACTGAAAATTGGATGACACGAAAGAAAAAGCTGTAAAAATAAGATGTCGGACAATCATTGTAAGAAGCAATGCAACCCGCCATAGCAGTACATGTCAACAGGGGGATGGAGGAGTAGTATAATAGTCTATAGTGGCGAGCTCAGTGCGCGGCGAGGCGGGCCGCAGCAGGGCGGGGTGCGGGTTGGTGAAGTATAGTATAGTAGAGAGTAGAGTCGAGACATTGCCTGCGGTGGCGAGCTCAGTCCGCGGCGAGGCGGGCCGCAGCAGGGCGGGGTGCGGGTTGGTGAAGTATAGTATAGTAGAGAGTAGAGTCGAGACATTGCCTGCGGTGGCGAGCTCAGTCCGCGGCGAGGCGGGCCGCAGCAGGGCGGGTGCGGGTTGGTGAAGTATAGTATAGTAGAGAGTAGAGTCGAGACATTGCCTGCGGTGGCGAGCTCAGTGCGCGGCGAGGCGGGCCGCAGCAGGGCGGGGTGCGGGTTGGTGAAGTATAGTATAGTAGAGAGTAGAGTCGAGACATTGCCTGCGGTGGCGAGCTCAGTCCGCGGCGAGGCGGGCCGCAGCAGGGCGGGGTGCGGGTTGGTGAAGTATAGTATAGTAGAGAGTAGACTCGAGACATTGCCTGCGGTGGCGAGCTCAGTCCGCGGCGAGGCGGGCCGCAGCAGGGCGGGGTGCGGGTTGGTGAAGTATAGTATAGTAGAGAGTAGAGTCGAGACATTGCCTGCGGTGGCGAGCTCAGTCCGCGGCGAGGCGGGCCGCAGCAGGGCGGGGTGCGGGTTGGTGAAGTATAGTATAGTAGAGCGTAGAGTCGAGACATTGCCTGCGGTGGCGAGCTCAGTCCGCGGCGAGGCGGGCCGCAGCAGGGCGGGGTGCGGGTTGGTGAAGTATAGTATAGTAGAGAGTAGAGTCGAGACATTGCCTGCGGTGGCGAGCTCAGTCCGCGGCGAGGCGGGCCGCAGCAGGGCGGGGTGCGGGTTGGTGAAGTATAGTATAGTAGAGAGTAGAGTCGAGACATTGCCTGCGGTGGCGAGCTCAGTCCGCGGCGAGGCGGGCCGCAGCAGGGCGGGGTGCGGGTTGGTGAAGTATAGTATAGTAGAGAGTAGAGTCGAGACATTGCCTGCGGTGGCGAGCTCAGTCCGCGGCGAGGCGGGCCGCAGCAGGGCGGGGTGCGGGTTGGTGAAGTATAGTATAGTAGAGAGTAGAGTCGAGACATTGCCTGCGGTGGCGAGCTCAGTCCGCGGCGAGGCGGGCCGCAGCAGGGCGGGGTGCGGGTTGGTGAAGTATAGTATAGTAGAGAGTAGAGTCGAGACATTGCCTGCGGTGGCGAGCTCAGTCCGCGGCGAGGCGGGCCGCAGCAGGGCGGGGTGCGGGTTGGTGAAGTATAGTATAGTAGAGAGTAGAGTCGAGACATTGCCTGCGGTGGCGAGCTCAGTCCGCGGCGAGGCGGGCCGCAGCAGGGCGGGTGCGGGTTGGTGAAGTATAGTATAGTAGAGAGTAGAGTCGAGACATTGCCTGCGGTGGCGAGCTCAGTCCGCGGCGAGGCGGGCCGCAGCAGGGCGGGGTGCGGGGTGGTGAAGTATATAGTAGAGAGTAGAGTCGAGACATTGCCTGCGGTGGCGAGCTCAGTCCGCGGCGAGGCGGGCCGCAGCAGGGCGGGGTGCGGGTTGGTGAAGTATAGTATAGTAGAGAGTAGAGTCGAGACATTGCCTGCGGTGGCGAGCTCAGTCCGCGGCGAGGCGGGCCGCAGCAGGGCGGGGTGCGGTTGGTGAAGTATAGTATAGTAGAGAGAGTCGAGACATTGCCTGCGGTGGCGAGCTCAGTCCGCGGCGAGGCGGGCCGCAGCAGGGCGGGGTGCGGGTTGGTGAAGTATAGTATAGTAGAGAGTAGAGTCGAGACATTGCCTGCGGTGGCGAGCTCAGTCCGCGGCGAGGCGGGCCGCAGCAGGGCGGGGTGCGGGTTGGTGAAGGTGCCGGAGTTGCGCCGCAGCGCGTGCTCGTACACCACCTCCTCCACTGCCACACACCCACACATTACTACCCACCCCCACAACCTAGATCGCCATCTTCAACCATTGTTTCCAAATTTGTGGAATACCAAACAAAATATAATCCAGCCTAATATTCACTGTAACCATCAACTCATAGATTTATAACTTCCCTTAATCTATGTCGGAATTCGTAATAATAAAACTTCTTTTATAAACTACCACTAAAGAATTTGACTAATATTGTACTGAAACTGAAACCTTCTCCTAAATGTAACAAACACTCGCGCACAAACATACATACGTGTCAAACTGAGAACATTATTTTTTTTGAAGTCGGTACAAACATCTCACATGAAGTAAGAATTGTTTATCAAGTATAGAAAATTTTTACGTCAAAATGTTTGATTGACAGTGCTCAAAAGTAGTGTAGACGTTGATATAGACACTCCACGTTTGTTGTTTTTTTTTAATATATCTTATTTGTATCATATTCAAGCGCAAACTTTGCGCAACAAGTGCAGATGATGCGCAACAGATTTCACTGAAAAAGGAACCCTAAATATTCATAACAATTTAGGTCAGTACTTCATGATATTAGTATAATATTTTCCATCAATAATCAAAGATTATACCTTGTCGCTGATTGTAGGCAGGCTGGTGCAGTAGTGTGGCGAGGCCGTGCAGCATGGCTCCCTGCTTCGCCACTTCCAAGGTCACCGTGGGTCCAGTACGCACTAGGTATTCAGCCGCCTATATAAAAACAAAAACAAAATAGAATAGCGAAGATGCAAATATGATATTCATGAAAATTTTATGATTAAAATGGTAAAGATATATAAAAGAAGAGCTACTTCAACGTTTTTATTTTATATTATGTTGATTTTTAAGAATGATTACGAATTAAAGTTACGTAAAACGAAATTCATTTTAAAAACACCATCAGCGTTTAGTCACTCGTTTCACGATGAATTTTTTGAGGTAAACTTTGCGTTTTTGCGTTTGCGGTTACAAATTGTTTACGTTTTTAATAAAAATTGTTATTGGGTTCATCAAAGCAGACTCCACGAGTTTGCCAAGAGTTAGTTTCGATATGGGTAACTTTTTTGTCGCTAGTCCAGATTTTTTATAGTGAAGAAATGAAAGGGACTAAATTACTACGGTGTGCATGAATAAGAGTTTTTTTCTAAACTTAGCAGTTTATTCAGCTTAATAAGAGAATCTTAGGGCGATAACGCATGCATAAATTTAAAAAAATATATTAAAATAAAAAAACACATGCAAAAAAATCAATAATTGAACTGTTTGAAAAGAGGATAAATGGTAAGGTAGTCGAGAAATCCTCCTAACTTTTGTTCTTGCTCTTATGACAGATTTATGAGTTTTAGTTATTTTAAAATAAGGTGGAACTTACAGAATGTTGAATTTATTTATGTTAGCTGAACCAAAGATGTAGATTCTAAAGAAAAATACGAATTCAAGTTAACTGAATATATTTTATTCATAGACGGCTTCGCTGGCGTTCTTTTAAGGGTTTGGGGCCATTTTATAAAACCAAAAATATGCACTATTATTAAATAGTCCGCATATCAATTTTATAGCTTTTTACCTTGAAAATTGCGAAAAGCCCATACAAACATAAAATGGGGGGTTAAAAATAAATAATAAGTAGCTTATGGAAAGTACGAAGTAATATAGGTTACCTTTTCATCCATGCATTCTTTCAACTATCTCCACTATAAAAAACCACATCAATTCCTTGCTTCGTTTAGTCGTAAAAGATGGACAAACAAACATTCACATACACTTTCATGTTTATAATAATAGTATAGATTTATATGTCATCTGACTTTTTTTTGACTCGCACTTCGAGTTTATGAAAAAAAATATATTTTTTTTTGCTGACGTGATATTTTCATCGAGGTATCCAAAGAGGTGGACAGCATTCTAAATAAATCTGTAATATGAGCGGGAACAAATCTTAGGAGGATTTCTTGACAACTACCTGAAATATTTAGAATCTTTGGAGTTCTATAAAAAAACGAATTACGCAGGGATGAATACTAATATGTGTAATACTGTGGGTTCTCAAGGGCTACCGTGAGACACGAATTTCATTCGAATTTTAAAGTTTCGAATTTTAGTCGTGTCTGTAAGGACTGGATTTACTATGTCAGTTTGCCGGTCTCCTTTGTAATTTATGATAGTCCACGAAAGCAAGCACGACCAGTGACAGACACGCATGACGTCATCGGAACTGTAGGTTCGTTTTAGCGCAAAAATTTAAACGGTATGTTTAAAAAAGCATTTTTTGCGACAAATTAGATTGATTAAATTTTTTTATATGTTTAAAAGCTGTATTCTACTAGTTTTTTTTTAATAAAAACAAAATTAAAACTACTGCAAGTTCCTTATTTTAACTACTTCATTTATAAAATTGATATCCAATTTTGATGCAAAAAATAGGGTTGTAAATAAATGTATTTAAGGACAATAACTCTTTTGGTATACGGTAAAACAATAACGGTAAATTTCATTCTCCTCTGTTCAATTTTGAGTATAGAAGTGTGCGTTACCTTCTCCTGTGTGATGCCGACGAGTGACTGTCCGTCGACGGAGAGTAGTTGGTCCCCAGCGGCGAGGCGACCGTCCGCCGCCGCAGCACCGCCCGGGACTACTGACTTGATGTAGATACCTAGCTTGCTCTGCCCCGCACCCTGAATGATGTATGTCTCAGTTACATTTTATGTCCGCTACAGTTGAGACGTTTGGGTATAGGAGTGTATAGTGATTATTATTCGTAGTAAGTTTTACGTAGTACGTACCTTGGCGGCGACGATGCTGAGTCCCATGCCGTTGGAGTTCTTGTGTAGCTGTATGATGTGCAGGCGCGGGTCGGGGCGGCGCGCGGGCGGCGCGTGTCCGGCCAGGTACACGGTCCAGGCGCCCAGCGCGTGCGGCTGGTGCGCCAGGCGACACAGCCCGCCGCGCTGCAGCGGCGCCACGAACTCCGCCAGCCCGGGCGGCACGCCGCACACCACCTCTGCGCTGAACCCGTCGCTGGGGATGAGCAGCGCCGCGCCCAGCCAGGCCGGCTCGTCCAGGCGCACGTCGCGGCCGTCGGCGCGCACCAGCTCGTCCGTGTGCGCGCGCACGTGGCGCACGCCCGCCTCCACCAGCTCGGGCGGCGCCAGCGGCGACAGCAGCGCGCGCGCCTGCACCGAGTTCAGCTTGAAGCACGACTTCAGCGCGCCCACCACCTCCTCCGCCGAGCGGTACGTGCCCTGGATCAGACGCGCTGCGACACACGAGTAATTATTATTATTACTTCTATATCACTGATCACAGCAATCGGTCACATGTAATAAAAACTGATTTACATACCAGCTTGGTTCATGCGCGCGAAATGACATTCTGCCGCTAATTCTAAGCCCTGTCGCTCCGCCCAAGCAGCTAGAACTTTTAGTCGTGCTGACAGTGCAGCGCCCCAACGTGCATTTATCATGCTGGGTTCTGTTACCAACTGTAAAAGAAAATTTTGTTTATAGTTTAAATCTTGTTAACAGTCTGAATAACTGCACAATAAAGATAGACTAAAGTTAGACACTCACTTTGTTAAAGCAAACAGCGTTGATGTAGTGGAAGAGGTGCGAGAAGAGCTGTATGGTGAGCGCGGCGTTGACGCGGCAGCGCCGCAGCAGCACGATGGCGGCGGCGAGCGCCTGCAGCGTGGGCGCGGTGGCCTCGTTGGCGTCCAACATACCGCCCGCGCCGCCCGCCCCGCCCGCCCCGCCCGCGCTCGTCAGCGTCGCCAGACCACGCGACAGCTCTTCTTGGAAACAAGTCACTAGGTTGCTGTGAAATTAAAGTTTAATTACATTTTTTAATTTCGATATGTATCTTGAGAATTATAATTTAACTTAGTTATTTATGTCCCGTACAACATTACAGGCGTGTTTCTGTTAACTGATATTTACCTGAAAGCATTCTGCACAGTAAGCGAGAGCACTTCTTGCGCTTGTGTTGAGAAGGATGATATGTGTCGGTCGTATTTCAAGAAGTGCAGAAGTTCACTCGCGTTCGTCATCCAGAAAGCTTGTGCCGCTGAGTCGGTACAACGCTCCTACAAATAAATAAAGGTTTACGTCATTATATTCAATGAAAAAGTCATGAATTGAAACCTTGTGTGTAGCGGTTCTTTTTGTGAACGTACGAGCAGCGAGCAGAGGTAGTCAATACATAGAGTACTCCTTTACTGTACAGGTACACTATTGAAGTAAATGTACAAAAGGCAACAATAATACTTGGGGCACAATAGCGGTGTTATCGCTACGGGCGACCTTTTCACGTATCCTGATGTCATGGGATCTTAAATATAGCATTGTATAATATAGTTATTAAAAGAAGTAATTACCTGTACGGTGGCGTGTATGAGCGTGGCGACATGGTGTAAGAAGGCCGTCAGTTTATGCGCGCGCTCGGTCGGCGTCAGCTCGGGGCGGTAATGAGTCGAGGCACGGTACCTACACACGTAATCATGATACATTACACACCCCAACAAATTGGATTTACACAATAATGATACAAATGGTTGTCTGTGTAAATATAAATAATAATAATGTTCTGTATATTTTACTTGTTTGGCTTTTGTTGGTCGCAGTTTCTCACCAGGGATTACATTTTATTGAGCTGATTATTACCACGGTTCTGTACTAGGGATACACTAGCATTCCTGTTCAGTAAATATACAATTTTACTTGCCTGTCAGTGCTGATAAAATTATTTTCCATTACAAAAATTAACACATACATAACATCACGCCTATTATCCCCGAAGGGGTAGGCAGAGGTGCTCATCACGGCACTTAATGTCACTATGCCATGTAACAGTAACACCCACTTTCACTATTTTATGTTATGTGTCCCATGTAATAGGGGTGAGCGTATTGCCATATACTGGGCACTACTCTAGAATTGGGAGTCTAGACTCCGTGCTACCACTAATTTTTTTTTTATAACCCTATACTTTGTCGGACTCGGGAATCGAACCCGAGAGCCCTTGCCCAACGAGGCAGGCAAAAATTAATTGCCAGGAAATTATACGTATGTATAATCCCCTGCCATAATATCAAACGAATATACACATGATGTTAGATAATGGCAACAGATAAGCCAAGATTTTCGCATTATCCAGTTTCTTTATATCCCACGTAAAAGAACAGATTTTCTTTTATGCGTATTATAAGTACGTTATAAAGTCGTCCTGCCGTTTTATGTACGTGTCGTTACTTACAATTTATGTGGGTCATAACGTTACGTATGCATATATTATTGAATAACCTATAACACGCCAATGAATACTAAGAATAACAAGCATTCTACAAATGGTGACGCATTTTTATTAAAGGGGTTTTAAAATAGAAATAGAAAAGAAAAATATTAACCGACATAGAAAAAATTCTTTTGGCATAGTGTAATTTACATTTAAATGAGTAGTGGAATAAAAATATGAGTAATAAGTGGTTGTTGTTACCTGGCACAAAGGTAGAGTGTGTAGACAGGGGCGAGTTTGAAGGCGGGCGCGTGCGGGTCGAGGCGAGTGATGACGGCGGCCAGGAACTGTGCCTGCCCCGCCTCCGGGAACTCCAGCACGGCCGGCAAGATCGCCTCCGTGCACCCGCGACCACTGCTCATACCCGCACTCATCCTAAATCATACGTTTACACCTTAATTTGAATCTACACTTATACCTATGAAGGATTTTTCTTAATTGTATTATTTTCAAGTCATTTCATATGATTTTTCAGCAGTTTATCAAAATTAAATACTAAAACGTCTAAAAATTCAAGCATAATTTTGTGTATAAAAAGCATATTCTCTAAGCATTAAGCAAGCTCTATTGTATTGGAGTAAACTTTTTAAATAATGATCGGATATTAAATGCAAAACTGATTATTAAAATGTGGTGCGCGCACTGACATGTTGGTACGTAATTATAAACAGGAGTTAAGACCTCAACACTGTTCCACAACCCATATAAGGAGGTTCGTATCAATGATAACTAAATACCTGTTGTCATGTCCAGAGCCGCCGCTCTTCGCACTGCAGATACTCTTTGTTTCAACGTTGCCGTCCAAGTCGAACGTGGTTTCATAATTGTCTTTGTACTGCTGCACAGAGTTGGACGTGCGGTTCACATTGGAGCTCTGATCTTGGTCGTTGTACACCGAGCTCGTGTGGTCGTCCTTCCCGTAATCGTCTTTGGTGTCGTTGAGGTGTTGTGACATAATGAGCGACTCGTTGTCAAGTTTGAGAGTGTTGTTGTTGTAAGGCGGTATGGTGTCGTTGGCGTCCCGGTAGTAGGTGTCTTGCGATACGGGACTCATCGTCCTCTGGTACTCTGTGTCGTTAGTCGTGTTTGCATTGGAGTCGAGAGGATCGGGCTGGTGTGACGTCATCGACGTCGGCGACATCGCGCCGCTATTCTCGCCGGGCGAAGTTGGCGATCTAACGTAAGGGTAACGTACACAAGCGGATATTCGTGAGCCAGTGACAGAAACATGCAAAGAAAACAAACAATGATAGATGAACAAAACATAAAATACACAGCTTTGAAAGTGATTAGAGAAGCGACGGGACTGATTGTGTTTACTTACACTGATAGAATTAGTTCAAATTAAAAGTAATAACAAAATGTTGCAATTGTGCGATGATATTTGATAACTAATCGACCAAATAAATGTTCGGGTCAGTCTAGTTTATCTATAGGGCCCAACTATACACAACATAAAGAAACGAGCTGATGTACACGTGCAATATTCTCACCTGTCGTATATTGAGCCGGAGCCGAAATGTTGTGATTGCGCTAGGTTCCTGTTAATGAGGTTCTCCTGTGCCGGGTCTACGAAGCGGAACGTCGATACACGACCGAATTTTAGTAGGCAACCGTGCTGTGACAAAATAATTAAACTTTACTGACAAAGTTCAGTAATACAACTGAACATTTCACTTCAACTGCTTTCCAATGGTCTTATTGCCTTGCATTTAAATGAACACTCTCAGAAACTCTACTAAACTCTTATTTAACGACTTTGTGTCAGCTCCTCTAGCGATATGAGTTTTAACGGTTTTTGCAGGACGCTCCGAGGATCCGAATTAAAATGTATATTTCATAAAAACACTAAGAAAGTTTTAGAACGTAGTTAATCGGCGCTGATTTACACAAGAATGTCCAAACTCGTGAGTTAATGTAGATAGCGGGGAAATACGTGGGTGTCTTGATGAAAGTATTTTACAAATAAAACTCGACCGTAACCTATTTAGTAGTACGTCTAGGGGCAAGTGACTGGCCTTGATCTACAAGTTCCAAGCGTTCCTGGAATGTTTTAAGCAGGATTTAGGTTACTACAAGAAATACTCAATATATCGTCAAATCTACATAATCTTTTCTTCATATATTTTTTTTTGCTCTGATTAATAACGCTGTGACCGATGATTCCCAGCTAAGAGCTTCCAATGAATGTAGGCTAATTTTATAAATCACCACGTAAGCTCTGTATAAACGTGTATAATCATGTTATAAATATTAATGCTGAAAATTTAACGAGAACACGTTCATTTACACGAGGGTTGGCTTCATTAGGCAATGCAAACAATGTTCGTCCATGTACAATCAGGCGCTACGTTGTATTACGAATATTATTTTTCTATACAGTTAAATAGGGTTGGCATTTGCAAAACAATCCGATATTCACGCCAGTCTTTCTGCGAAGGACACATTCGCCTTTATTATTAAGTGCTCAGTAACTCTTTAATGAACTCGTCAAAATAGAAATGCTTTCAGTACTAAAACCAGTATTTCCGTTAAGTTTAAAGTTCAAGATATACGTCATAGAATCGTTTCCGAGAAACTAAAGGATTTTTCCAAGGTTACCATTTGTGTCAATTGGCAATAAAGATAAGCTTTGTGTTTCTCAGGAACATGTGTGGAGAAATTGCCCTTAAGACTTTGGGCAAGATATCTAATCCCAATGGAATTATCATTAAGCTGACTAGAATAAGAGTTTCCCGCACGCGTTATTGTATCTACCATGTTATAATCTAGTCCAATGATCTTTTATTATTAGGTGGTACATTTTAGAATCCAATACCGAAGGTGCATTGAAAGACAAAGACAGGCCACATATAGAGAAAGGCAGATAAGGAATAACAGTGCGGATGAGAACTCACTTGTAGGCGTTGCGAGTGCATGATCCTGCGTCCGTTGACATATACGTGTGCATCGGCGTGCAGCGGCGTCACGGAGTAGCCGCCGCCTTCTGCGGGCGCGACCACACAGTGGCGCGGCTGGATTGAAGGTCCATACAGCTGCAGAGTTGTGCCATTGCCTGAACCCACCTGCAAGTAGACCTTACCTTAGTAAACAAAGTATCGTCACGTTTCCAATTTTGGATGTTTGGGTGGCAAAGTGCACATACCATATTCTATTTAAATAACTAGCATTATGTATGTAATAGATTATTGCAGATTCCGAAGTTCACATACCTAGATAATATTATAAACGGTGCAAGTTGTTCTAAAAGATTAATTAGGTACAGTTCTATTAAGAAAACTGGGGTCCCTTCATTTGAATTTTAATATTATACAAAAGCTACAAGAATGATATAACTGTATTATGTAAATAAACATTTTCTTTGAGATATAATAAACCTGCCGTGGTTATTTAAATACGGCGAACACTCAAAACATATTCGTACGAATTGACTTTGACGGGAAAGCGCTGTTTATTAAATTCATAAAACAACTGGAACAGCGTTAACTGGGCAATTGAATTATTCTAGTAGAGAAAACTACGAGGGGCATTGCTTCATATTTATAGTGTATAGCCAACCAGCGTTTTGGGTCAACAGCACTTCGAAACAGGCTGTCCGACAAATATTGGTCTATAAATAATTTATATTTCCCAATCGTGCTGTAAATCAGGAAATTACGTATTTCCAAATAACGTTCATTAGATTTAGCATAAAGCCGGAGGTATTTTCTTCTCGCATAAAATGGATACGGTCGAGGAATTTGAACATGAGACTAAATTAGTTTAGGAGCCAGGGACTACCTCAGATTACAAGTTTGTAGGTCGGACTAACGTCCTTAGTTTCTCAGGGCACTTTACTGCAATTAGTTACACCCTATATCTATTGCAGCTACATCGGGTAAGATTCATATTATGAAAATTGATAGCAATTACCTACAAGACAGAGTACTGGTAATTAAATAAAATTCTTATCGTGGTTATTACGTCTCTTTAATTGGTTATCATCAGAATATAAAACATGATGAGTTGACGACACGACATTGATCTTCCATCGACCGGCAACACACCTGACTGTTCCCTCGCAAAACTAAGACTTGAACAAGAAATGATTCATAATAATAGTTCTGTGTGGGTATTAGTCGATTGAATACCTGCGATTTATCTCTTCTTGTATTGAATGAATAGAATCGCTCAGTGGAATTACATCGCGTGTATTGAACCACAAAGAATATGTATGTTTCATAGAACCTACTACTCATGCAAGTTTGAAGTTATTTGTTACCGCTGAGTGCTCCTAAGGGATAGGCGTATATCTACGCATACATTATTATGACAGTATTGGGTCATGAACAACAAACGTAAGCTTTACATGTACCTATATTGGCTTACCGACTGTAGGGACGTTTAGCCGCCCGCATATGCAAAAGGAAGCGGATTTGTAATCTGACAGGATGTGTAATTTACATTTTCGCAATTCTACCGTGGCATCCATTGTCATGTCATCCGTCTCTTAGCTCGAAGGCAAATTTATTGATCAAGTCTCCAAGAGACAAATTCGTAGGTCTATTAATTTATTTGACTTTCAACGTCTCCTCATTGGTCTATTCTGTAAGTCTGGATAAGGAGAGCAAAGTTTATTCATTGCATCTATTTTACGACATTAACGTGCTCACCTGCAATCTGCTTGCACCAGGAAAAAACACACTTTAAATTAGATTTTGCCAACTTTTACATTCCGGTTAATCCATCTATCTAAAATAATGAACAGTTTCATATTTAACATGTTACGATCCTCCCAAAAGTATATTTCTGAGCTAAATCCAGGTATTTTTTTTAAGGGGGGAAAATCATCGAATGACTGCTCCCGCCTGGGTGAGGCGGAAGGGAGTGTCAGACTCTTACTGACTAAAAACCACCCCGTTCCTTCTCCTGCACGTCGAGCCGGAGCCCCGGTTACCCGTTAGGTAGGAAAGGTCTAGTGGAATTCGGACGGACATCCATCCGGATGTCCATTACAATTCTCACTCGCTCTACATTGGATAGTAAATTATTAAACGAGAATACCTCAATGCCGACTCGGTGTGATCATCGTCTGACAATTGGCGTAACAGATTGCCCATTTGGGAATCCAGCAACTCCGTCTAAGTATGGTAAGGGGTAAGGAATGGAGAATTGACCGAGTGCGAAGCGAATAATATACAAGGAAATAGCAAACCTCGACAACATCTGTTATTCTGAGTCGCCGTCCGTTTTCTAGCGATGAACCGTCGGGAGACATTTCTACAAGCATGGGTTCGTTTCCGGGCCGTCCGCCAGCGGCCCCAGTGCCTCCAACTTTTTTCTTGCGCCTCCGCGGCTGCACATCCGCAGGCCGCCGCCGTACATGGAACATGATGGAGCCTACGACAAACACACACATCTTTAATATATATGACAATAAAACACAACAAAACTCATTCCGCAACGAATACACACACTGTGCTAATTATGAAGGAAAATAAATAGTCATTACGTTAAGTCGAGAAAAATGCTATTACATAGGTAAGTACGCCAGTCACTTCTCGAACAAAGCCACCCTTACTAATAGTTACATAAATGTTTAGTAGGCGTTCTATAGTGACAGTGGAAACAAAAACAGTGGAACTTTTTACATTGCATTTTATAGGAGGCTACCTAGGACAGTGGGTTTTTGTGATGGTTAGGGAGGTGGGTGGTTGTCGTGGGGCGAATGCCAAATGCTAACCTACATCACTTCTTCGAAATATAATGATTGACGTATACGTTTTTAAATATTTTATAACTGTTCTTTGCAATAGTGTGTGTATTTATATTGCATCGTGCATATTTATTTTCCCTGTGCTCAGTGGCACGTGAAGATCTGGCCTGTATTTGGGATTATTTCCGGATGTTTAATGTTAGTATACTTTGACCTCATTCCTATTTGGTGCCCATTCAATACTATGCTGCTTATTTACATTAACTATTTATTGATTTTTCTTTAATTACAGTCTGATGGTAAGTCTAACAGACTGCTTGTTAAAGAAACATACAAAACTGTTTATATGTTGGTACGTAAACTTCAAGTAAGATATTATTCAAAGTGTTTTATTTGGGTCGACGTGACGCCTCAACAGCAGGTCAGCCGTATTGTCAATTATACTTAATTGATGATCGAATGTGTTGACAGGCAATGCTCGATATGTAGAGGTAGGTACCTCCATGTCACAACAAATCTGAATTAGAGTTAGACACATTTATTACAACGATTTAATGCCGACAAAGCAGTTCAGCTAAACGTGTCTTCGATTAAAACAAAGATGTGTTTTTAATGTCCCAAAACGATTTGAATCTTATGATTATGTAGAGTTACTAATTAGTTTTACCTACAACCTAAACCTGTGAAGAAAACAACGTATAACAAAAAGATATTTCCTCCAACAACACTAATTTACAAGCTTTTATTTCAATTTTCAATGAATGAATTGAGTTGAGAAAGATTATGAAGTTCTAAACTTGTAATAGAAAGGTAATACAATTATTCGCTGAAACGAAAATTATGATGATAGTAGGTGACGTGGTAGAGCTACCTTAGCACAGGTAAGTTTAGTTGGTAGAGCTCTGTATTGTTTAAGCCGCCGGCGCTGGATCGGCTCCCGTTTTCCTATATTTCCGAGTCAAAATCGTGACTTCAGCTATAGCGTCCGTTCTACAATTCACAATTACAAATTGCTAACGTCTACATTAGCTTCGTTTCAACGCTTTTAGTAGATTGCCAAGTTCAAAGTTTATTGCACTCATTTAGAGCTCGGATATTGTTCAAGGCTACCCACAGTATTGCCCTTTTAGCTTCACATACACATATGTATAACTTCATAGTTGGGTTACTTTTGACTGCACTCTTGGGAAGAGCGAAGTCTAAATGGTAATGCCCGTTCTTAGCCGGTTATTTGCAAACCTTGATAAATTTACAGTACCCAAGAGTACCTTCAAGTTAAATGCTACTAAAACATTTTATACACCTTAACATTTAATTGGTTTTCATGTTATGGAAATATCAGACCATTCGTTTATAAAAATATCGCAAGAACAGAAATATATATTACTTTTATGATCGAATGGAATAGATTGCTGTTTAAATAATACAATCTCGTTATTGGTCGTAATAAACAGCTTTTTCGGGTTATATTTCGTTTGGTTTTAAGTCAAACAAAATTTCAATCTGTATTGTAACAGGATAATAAAAGTACACATTTGTATTACAAAAGAATCCTGTTATGAATAACAATGTGTGCCTCCAAACGAAAAATTAATTTTAGATTAGCCGCTGTTGAAAATTTCATTGTGAAATATTCAGGAACAAATACGATTTAAGTAAGATTATTTCAAAACATTTTTTTCATGTTTGTAGAGTTTAAGCAATACAATAAAAGACCGAAACGGATGCTTATTTTAACACTTTACATAGAACTTCTTATAAACATGATTACTACGATTTTATTATCTGCTTAAAATGGACATTGCGTTTTTTAAGGATACCTATGTAAGCCTTTTTATATGTAGGTATATCTAAGTTACGATATTAAACAAGATAATTGCGTTATATGCTGTTAATTCCTGTTACATGTTGTACACAAAAAAAAACTCCCGAGACAAAATACATTAGTTAAATGAATAAAGAAATAATTAACCCAACTGGGACGGTGAGACAGACTCATTATGTAGGGTACGTAAACAAAGTTAAAGTATAATGACGCAGAAGAAACTTGGTAGATGCCGTAGGAGTAACGAAACTGAATCTATCTACATTATATGTACGAGTTAATACATAAATAATGAAGTGTTCTACTGTACGTTTCATTCAAGTTAAACTTAAGCATTTTCTGCGTACATTTTGTCACTTTACACATAGACTATAAAATGGCTTAATAGAATTTATTCGAAGATATTTCAGAAGCGCTTGCTACATTTAGTGGCATCGTGTTTAGGTAAGTGCACTCGAAAGCGTGTTATGTTGTGCGCAGAGTCGGGGGTGATGGAGGAAGGGGACGTGCTACGAGTGAGACAAGCCCGCTTCTAGTGTCAACATCATTAGTGTCTACATTGTCCCGTTGCTCTACTGGAGCTACGAGAGTTGCTACGGGCTACAACTTTCGTAGGCGTCGGTGTCTGCTTCAGTTCAGTTAAGTTCACGTGAAGGAAATATTGACAACCAGAATATATCCCTATATTGAGTGAAAAAATCGATTATCGATGCGAATCTTGGAGGTAACAATGGATTATGATAATTAACGTAACAAAGCAAACGGCATTTACCTTGGCAAGAAGCACTTCGTAACCATCAGTCATTCGCAATACATACAATATTAAACAGAATCAATCATATAGGAGACGTCTCTGAGGTAATGATTGATGGACACGAAGTAATAGCAGATTATTCGCTATTAATCGAGGGCGCACTTTTAGGATATTGATAGGAAGAAAAGTTATTAATATAATTGTTTTCAAACTTGATCAATAATAGGTATTTATATGGAATTTCTATTTCAATCTACAAACAAAATTGAGTAGGTACATTACTACAATGTTTTACAATATAACAGCACGAACAACATACAACTTACGTACCTGCTTTACATGGATATCTGAATTGGAAACCGGGTCAATAGTCACAAAATTGGCGAAGTGAACCTTATTTCAGCTCAAATATACAATGGAATTGTGGTTTATTGAACCATTTGTGGAATATAATACACATACATAAACAATGCACTTGGGTTTAGCAGAATGGCAAAATCAATACTTAAACCCAACCAGCAATATAAACTATTGACGAGTTGATGAACTCATAACGAAAACAGTGGTTCAGTTTAGCAATAACCGTCCGCAACAAGACGTCAATGCCGCATCTCCATCGAAATTGACGTCCTCCAGGAACATCCTGCTTCCCATCCTTAAATCTAACTTTGTGGCAGTGTAAAACACCGGTATCACAATTAGTACACCAAGTTCACACACAAAACCGCAGGTAGGAAATACAATTTTATATTTTCATACCCGGCTTTCCATTACATGTACAGTTTCATTATCAATAATCGAAAATTAGCTTTAACTTTGAAAACCACACAAAAAACACTGAACACAGGACAGAAACACTCTGTACAACACGTGTATGTACGGACACTGTATAACGTGAGGAACGATTACCTAGCACAATTTCCTTCTTTTCATTTCGTAACCGAGAACTAAAGGATCTGCTGAATAGCATATCTGTGAGCGCGATAAGGATTTTCTTTAGCCATTGCCGTCCGAATACTATAAAAGCGTAGCGCGTAGTAAGTTCAAACCGAGCGGCGGTCTAATTGTAACTGGACTGAGTGCCACACCACCACTACGTCACACACAGCGTACCACCACCGGTGCCAGCCGGCCGCCACTTAAGTCATAATGCAATACAGGTTAAGGACTACTTTATTGGTTTTGTCCAGTTTTATGTGACCACTAAACGTCGATACATAGAATTATACATGTCCCATTGTACATATTGTAAGGAGCTATAACTGGTGGTATTAACTGGTTCGGGTCACAAACCTTTGGCAGATATACATTTTTATGTCTTTCTTGATAAACGATAGAAATACTCATATTTCTATTGTGTTACTTTACTCATAACACAAATAAGCTGCTTACATCGTTATAAAAATACACACACTTTTGTAAAACCTGAATTAGATCGACATCACGGTGTGGTCGGTGTGACATGTGATGCGACGTAGCGTGTTATTGAGGGGTGACCTATTTGGTTGGAAACTAATTAACAAGAAATAGCTAAGATGACAAAAGCAGATGTCACTAATGATTGGAATTGGCTGTTTGTATTGTAACGGCTATTTGGCTAATCGTCATCACATTGTCGTAGATGGCTATACATCGCGTGCCTGCGTGACCTACCGAATTTGTATAATCACCTCACCTGTTGCCGCTTCACAAATAATAACAGTCAACAAATCGACACACAACTTACTTCGATAGGATCGAAGTCCTTTTATTTCACGTGTCAGATTGAATAATTAAAATGTTTACAACGCCGACAGTCGATTTGACATGAAAGCTGAATTCAATTTTGTACCTTCAGTAGTAGTACGTTTGATATCGATTAAATTGATAGTGAATCGGATCTGCTGAACCAGTTTATCTATTGTGTCGTCAAAGTTGTATTTATCGTAGACATAACAATGGATATTTCCGTTTGGAGATGTGCCGTACGTCCTGAATTATGATCAGATGTGCGGACAATATGGAGTACGAGTTCTGACACTTGGTAGGTACGATGCCGTAGTTAAGCGGCCGGATAGAGATCGCTCAGACGAAACGCCACTCAACATTACACACTAAATGATATG